CTTAATTTAAGAGAAAAATTTAGACAGTGTGTTGAGACTTGCCTCTCTTGGGTCCCTGGACTTCTTTGCTAGTCAGGAGGGTTTACTTTGGGGGCACTATTTTTTTTTATAATGCCTTATGAGTGATCCCAGCCTTCTGGCTCTGAGAGTCCCATGCTTACTACAGAAAGGAACAAAGAGAAGGAAAGCAGGTCAACATTCCCAACCCTGTGAGGAGAGACTGGCCCCACATGAGTTGTGTTGCAGTAGAAAGAATGTTGGCCCAGGTGTCTTAAGGCCTGGAAGAGAGGCCTCTCTGGGGCTCAGCCTCCTCATCTGTCAAGGGGGTTTATGATACCCATCTGTACATTTATCTAGACCTCGGGATGGGCAAATCTGGGACCGCTGTGAGTGGCTGCGCACAGCCCAGTTCAGGATCTACAACCACATCACACAAGATCAACCCCTGCTTCTCATGCCATTGTTGTTACATGACATCAGAGAAAACACAGTGGGATGGGGTGAGGGTTCCAGGAGGAAATGCATAACCAGCAACCATTTCTTCAGGGTCTGATGGTTCCATTTTACAGACGGGGAGCTCAGGCCCAGTGGGCCAGGTTAATAAATCACTTATTTATGAGGGGCAAAAACTAGATTCAGCAAGTCTTTGGCCCTTTTGCCCAGGTATCTGGTGCCTTCTGCAAAGGATTACTGTCGCTTAGCCTGATTCTCCTCTCGATTCTCAGTGTATTACCAGAGTGGCCCTTGGGGCTATTATTGTGTTTTTCAAGTCCTTCATCTTTGGCTGGGGAAAGCCCAGTGCACAGGACCTTTTTCTCACCCACATCCTGCTGGATGTGGTGGCTCCTGCTACCACCTCTCCCACTGGGCTCTCCCAGGTGGCTGGAGTGAAGAGTAATAAAATTCAGTTAGAGAGGGAATTGCCTTTGTTTAGGTAAAGGCTGTTGTCACCAGCCTGAGGGCAGAAAGGGAGAAGTGGAGAAAATGAGAGATGGCCAGAAGCTCTGCTTATAAAAAATGACCTAAATTTTGCTTTCTTCATGACACCAATGCTGCAGACCCAACTATTTAAAACTGAATCCTGTTTCCCCCAGCACGGTTGATCCCTCACCTTTGCTTTTCACTGTCTTTTTGCTAGAATAATCACCAAATTCTAATGTACCCTGTCATTTGCTTATTTATCACTATTTATATTGTCTGTCTCCTACTCTAGACTACAGTCCAGGAGAGCAGTCTCTTTTTGCTCAGATACTTCCCAAATGCCTAGAGCAGACCCAATGCATGGTGCAAAAAAACCCAAACAAACAAACAAAAACCAAAAAATAACCCATCGCTACCACCATCACAAAAACAAACAAACAAACAAAAAACCCAAACCCCCCCCCCCCCCGAAAAACCAGCAAATGTTTGTTGGATGGATGAATGGGTCTGGAAAAGGGAGGGAGAGCTGAGCCACCAAATACAGAGGGGCAGCAAACGGATAAGGGGTATTTTCAAGAGCAGGGAACTCCAAGTCTAACTGCAGGCAAGGGGTGATGGTGTGATGTGCCCCCAACCCCTGTACCCTTGGTCCTCCCTCACCAATCTTGTGTGTGTGTGTGTGTGAGTGTGCGCACGCACGCGCATGTATGTGGTTTATGATGTGTGTGATTTGAGTGTGCATGCACGCTAGTGTGTGCATCAGTGTGTAGGAATGTGTGTGTCTGAGGTGGCAAGGACTGCAGAAAGATGAGAAGCGCCGAGAAATCCAGTCCACACTCAGTGCTCAAGAACATGCATGGTTTGGTGTGAAGGTGCTGGGAGGGGCTGACCTAGGCTCTCACCAGCAGTGGCTTCCCAGACAGCTAGGCTGTCTGAAGTGCCTAGAGTGTTGGCGGTGACAGCAGCGATGTTTGTGGGCCCCTGACTTTGGTGTATAGACTAGGCTTCATGGCCCCCTTACCCTGCAAGACTGTATTGTGGGTTTACCCTCATCTTTGTTGGATTTAGAGAGGTTAAAACAGTGGCCCCAGAGGGCCTGACCCCCTTTCCTGAGCTGCATGGTCCCCATGTGGCCTGATTCTGACTTCTGACTCTGCCTGAGCTGTGTGACCTTGGGCAAGTCTCCTACGTTTCTCTTGTGTGCCTTGGTTTCTTCATTTGTAAATGGCCCAATGAAGATGACTGCCTTATCAGGCTGGAGTAAAGTGACGCTTGTGATTTATTAGCAGATATCGGAATGCATTCAGTGGACCAACAGGAGACAATGTCAGGGACACACCTTCCTCTCTTGCATGTTACGCCGAAGTCAGGCCTTAACCAAAGTCGCACCCAGTTTCTGGAGGTCTGAGAGGGTTGACCAACAGCACAGCTGCCAAAGACTTAAGCTGCCTGTGGCCCTATGGCTTGGCAGAGGCCAGTCTGGCCCAGTAGCCTCTCCCTGCAGGCAGCCGTACTTCCTGATTGTTCAGTCACCTGCTATATAAGGCCCTTCACACACCTGCTGTAATCCTGTGCCAGGATCCACCTTCTGCAGGGCAGTCTCCAGGCCAGACTCTGAAGGTGAGGGGCTGAAGCCAATGTGTGGTGGGGGGTGGGCATCTTGGGAGAAGCTGAAACCAAGAGAGGGGCATTGAGGGATGGCTGGGGTCCAAGACACTCTCATGGCTCTTGCTCCTTTTGCAGTGCTCAGGAGAAGGAAGTCTCAACAGGAGAGGTGTGTGGGCTGGGGTTTGCTCTCCTTTGTGCTGTGTCCTCCTCTTCACAGCTGCGTGGAACTTGCCTGTGTATAAAATGAGAGCAGATGTGGAAAGACTCTTTCAGAAAATATCCAATGTAGATGAGTGGGAAGGACTTTGCAAAGGGGTTTTTCAGATGCTACTTGTTCTCCATTTCTGTTTGAGGTCTCCTGCCCCAACTGCCACCTCGCTGATTTCTCTCCTCAGAAGTGGTGAGCAGGGCCCAGGATTTTGCCACTTCTAGGCTCTGACTCTCTGCTGTGTGTTTCTGGGCTGGATCCCGACGTCTGTGGACCTCCTTTTTTCCTCCTGAAAATGAGGCTAATAATCAGGCTTATACCATAAGGAGAAGTAATTTATGCATCTGACATGGCTGCTGTGACCTCTTTACCCTCATCTCTTTCCATCCCCTTTCCTTCTCCATACTCACAGGCTTGAGAGGCCCTTCCCAGGAAGTTCGACCTCTGAGCCTCTCTCCCCACAGGGGTTCCAGGCATGGAGGGGTGAGCAGGCAGGGGGGCATGCAGAATGCAACACATGGAATATCTACCAAAAGTTCCAAACCAGACATTCTTAATTTTTCTCCTTGGATTTCTGTATGATGTGGCCCTTAGATGGGCCCCTCTGCCACCCTTGACTGAACTTGTTTCTCTTCCTTTCCGCCAATCCCTAATAAGTCAACAAAGGGGTCATAGTTGCTGTGGTATATGTGGTGTGTGTGTGGTATGTTTGTGGTGTGGTGAGCTGAGAGGTGGGAGGCTGGGTGCAGCTTCTAGGTAAAGGTCCAGTCTCCCTTGGTAAGTAGAGCTGTCATGGTGTCACTCAGCTTTGGAGCTGGAAAGATGCAGAATGAAGTCCCAGTTTTGGCTTACGAGGCTGGGAGACTTGGGGCAGCTTTTCTTCTCTCTCCATGGGCAGGTGTCTCCCCTGCCAAGTGGGGCTATAAGCCACGCTGTGCACTGGGACTTTCTGCAGTAATAGGAATGTTCCAGAGTTGTGTTGGCAAATAGGTAGTCGCTAGCCAGGTGACTGAGAAACAGAATTTTTTTTTTATTTTTTCATTCCTTCAATGAGTCTAAATTTTTTTTTTATTTTTAAGATTTTTAAAAAAAATTTATTTGACAGAGATCATAAGCAGGCAGAGAGGCAGGCAGAGAGAGAGAGGAGGAAGCAGGCTCTCCGCGGAGCAGAGAGCACGATGTGGGGCTCCATCCCAGGACCCTGGGATCATAATCTGAGCCGAAGGCAGAGGTTTTAACCCACTGAGCCACCCAGGCGCCCCTCAATGAGTCTAAATTTAAGTAGCACATGCACTTTGTGGCTGCCATTTATAGGCTAAATGAGCTAACAGTCAGGAAGGACTCAGCGCAGAGTTAGAGCTTCCCCTCCGCGCTGCTCTTATACACGGGCAAGTTGAAATTCTGGGAGCTCTCATTCAGGATCCTAATGAATACAGGTAACTTAGCTTTCTGATGACTGGTGACATACCAGTCGGAGGTGTGCTGGGGCTTCTGGTTCCTTCCTGCAGGTCACATGTGGGGCTCTGGGAGTCCCATCTGTTGGAGGCAGTATGTGTGGTGATTAGGGCCTGGGCCAACCCTGGCTCTAACACTTTCCAGGAACGTGATTTTGACTTTGACTGGTTTATGTGGTCTCTCCGGGACTTGATTTCTCCTCTGGAAGGAGGGTGATGCTAACAGTAGTCCCTGCTTGCTGCAGTGGAGGCATTTCATGAAGTAATGAACATGAACTGTTCAGAGTCAAGTAAGTGCTCAGTAGGTGTCTGCCTGTTGGGGTGGTGATGACAGCGACAGAGGCCCTAAGTGAATTAGGTGACTGTGAACAGATATTAGCTAGAGAACTCCATTATGCTCTGGGAGAGGAGAGCCCAGCTTTCTTCTTGGACCCCATCCCCCGTGGGGCTGGCAATCATCTGCCTGCCTATGCTGTATCTGAAGTGGCTGTGGGCAATGCCCAGCTGTGTTTTGTGTCTCTGTGTAGATGCTTCTGTAGGCATCCAGGACTGGGGACAACCCAGACCCTGGTGCAGGTATAATGGCAGCATGGAAACTGTGTCACAGCTCTGTGCTCCCAGCTGAGAGTGCCAATTCCTTCCGTCACAAGGATGGGCTGTGTGTGTGATGTGTGGAAGTCTGATTGCAACCTTAGGGGCTGTTGTGTCCCAGCAGCCTTGCAGGCACCCTGACTGCCTTCTTTGTGTCTCTTCAGGCATAAGGTTCTGCACCACAGTCCTCATCCTCGAGAGACACCGGGTCCTGCACCATGAAGGGCATTCTTGTTGCTGCCATCATCACAGGATTCATGGTGGCAGCTGTAGGTAAGGGAACCCACTGACACCCTTTGGGAATGAAGACCCCTTTTTGTACCTCATCAGAGTCTTCTCCCTTGGTGTTCTGGGGTCCTGTCCCATGGCCTCTATGTCAGGGTGTGGTCAGTGGAGAACATGAGACCCCTCTGAGCACACTGCCCTCAGAGAAGCTGCTCTGTGCTATGGGTCTTCCTATTGGGAAATGGTGGGGAGAAATGAATATGGGTGGCTCCATCACACAGCCTCAAGTTTGGGGGATCCCAGAGGGAAGGGATGCTGTCCTGACTCTTCTTTTGCCCTGAGCTGGATGTGGCGCTTTGTCCAGGGTACAGTCTATAAGTGTCCCCCTGAGTGTTGGCGATGCTGTCCATCTTGTCTCCCCAGAATCCCTACATTGTGTGCAGTGTAATTCATTGACAAACCCTTGTAACAACAGCATCATCACTGAGTGTCCCCCAGATGACAATGCCAGCTGTACCAATTTCATGACCAACTCTTCTTTAGGTGAGCCTGGGATGCCATAACCCCTGTTTCTGGGATTTGCATGGGGGCAGGAGCTAGAGAGGGTGGTCAGGGAGGAAAGGAAGGCTGAAGAAGGGCCAGGCTATGCAAAGATGCCTTCCAGAAGAAGCAGCACACAGGAGTGAGATGAGAATGGAGGGCCAAGCAGACAAGCCCTGTGGAATTGCTGCCCTTGACTGAAACCTCATTCTAGACCTATACTGGTGGGTGTGAGAAGCAGGGGCAGCTCTTAGTCAAGTTGTAAAGCAGGCGATTTGCTCTGGGTACTTGCATTCTTCCATTTTTCTGCACCCTCCTTCCTCCCCTCAGTGCTCCTTCCTGCTCCAGACCCAACAGGCTTTTACCCAGTGTGATTTGCTGACATGATTGTTACTTCTCTCCCAGAGCACTTAGATTTCTTATTAAATTTTATTGTGGATAAATTTTATTATTTATTTACTGGCTACCATTCAATAGCTCTGGTCTAGAAGCTTGACTGTATGCAAGTTTAACATCATATTGCTTGTAGGACCATCATGTCTGCTTGGCTGTTTATAGAGATACTAAGACTGATCAGGGGGCCTTGGAATGTTGGCCTGAACCACCATTTCCAAGCTCCCCATCAGTCCTTGACCTGAAGTTTAGCCTGTACCTCTGCTCATCTCCTGCTAAAGGAAGGAACTACCTCATGGGGAAGGATTTTTCTGTTTGCCAGGAAACTCTCTCCAGTGTCTCTGAAATCACATTGAACTGAGGGTATGTTTTCTGCTGTTGTTTGAAGCAGTCGCTATTCAGGGTCTCTGCCCTTTCTGAAGCCACCTACCCAGGACTGACGGTCTGTGTTTCTCTTTGTGTAGGAGCAGCCAATATATACCAGGACAAAGCCTGCTCTGCAGAGAACTGCAGGGAAGGCAGAGACATGGTTGAAGCCTTCACTGTCCAAGTGTCTGATAATGTACACTTCCACTTTGTAAGCCAGTGCTGCCAAGGAAAGGAGTGCAACAAGACCAGTGACGCTCCGGGTGGGTGTTGGCAATGTACCACCCTTCTTCTAGCCTCCCAGCTCTCTCCCTTCCTTTGCCACCTCTGGTCTTCACCTTCTGGTGGACTTCTCAAGTCCAAGCACTTCATTGTATACCTGGGTAACATCAACAGCTGACTTAAAACAATTGCTTGGAAAACAAACGGGAAAATCATTACTGCTGTCATGCTTTCCTCTTTTCTCAGTATAGACAGAAATCAAAGCACTCCAAGTTGTATGGAATTAGATGCTTATTAGTATTTCTCAAACTTTGTGGCCCCAGGCCCTATTTTAAGATGCTAAATCTTCAAAATTATTGAGGACTCCAGAGAAATTTGATTTATGTGAATCGTACTGTCAATATTTGCAGTATTAGAAATTTCAAAAATTCATAGAATTTCCAAAAAAATTTAAAAATCTTTATTTAGTTCACCAAGAAATAATAAACCCATTACATGTTAACATTCATAACATTTTTATATAGAAATAACTATCTTCCAAAACAAAAAAATTAGTAAGAAGAGTGGCATTTGTTACATATTTTCTCAAAGCTCTTTAATTTCTGGCTTAATAGAAGACAACTGGGTTCTCAGATTTGCTTGTGCATTTGGTCTGTTGCAATCTTTTATGCCATGTAGCCTCCAAAAAACTCAGTACATTCATGAAAGAAAGAGTAAAAGAGGCAAAGAACATCTTAGTATTATCATGAAAATAACTTTGACCTTGTGGACGCCCCAGAAATTTTCTTGGGGATACCCAGGAGATCCTGGACCACAGTTTGAGAACCACTGGGCTATACCAAAGCTCTCTTTTTGGAGATGAAAACATGAGCCAAAAAGGCAAAGTTAATATGTCATAGTTCTAGAGTACAGTTCATTGATAGCAGAACTGGGTCTCAGTATAATTTTGTATTAAGTAATAAATAATGGCATATGTTCATTTATTCAGAGAAAGATTTAGTAATAACTACACACCTATTGGCTAATGTGCAGAATAGCTGGCTAATGTTGACATTTGTTGGTTTTAGATCAAAATCTTACCTTTCCCTTCTCAGCCCAACACATCCCTTGACCACAGTTCTTAAAGACTGAATCGTTTGTAAGGGGAGGTCTGAGAGATTGTGTGCTGTAACTGTTTTGATGGGATATGAGGTTAGGATGACTGTTGTCTTCGTGCAATTGTCCCATTCTCAAGATCTCTCTGGCCAGGATCTTTGCTTGCTTGTCCCCTTTGGTACAAGGCAGTACCATGTTCTATGTTCAACTCTTCTAAATTAATGGTTCTTATCCTACCAGCTCCTCCATGGAAGATATGTCCAGCAACATAGAGTGTCCTGCATGTTATGGATCTAATGAAAGTTCCTGTAATGAGCAATTCAGGAAATGTTATAAAGAAGAACGATGTGTCAATCTAGTTGCAGAATTTAAGAATGGTACGTCCTGGGGTTTCAATTCCCTGTTACGGAACTTGAGTTGGAAACATATTACACCTTGGGTAAAAGTTCAGGGTTAACAAAAGAAGGCTGGTGGAGTTTAGTAGGAGAAAAGGATCAAGTCAGAATGCCTTTGAGATAGCGAGGCTGTCAATGTAGCCTCAGGCTGGTTGCTCTCTCTACCTCCTTAATCCAGAACCATTCTTCCTGGGCTAGGCGACTCTTGAACCCTGTTCTCCTGTGGCTTATAAACAAGTCAGGCTCATTTAAGTGCATCATGTCATTCCTGGCATTTACTTCTTTACTAGGTTGCATTGTTCTCTGTGTGCATGTGGGTTGGGCTTTTATTTCCTTTTATCCCTACATTTATTTTCTCTAATGGTTACTGAGAGGTGCTGGCTTATGACAACTTGGGTCACCTCACTGAAAAAGAGTCAGAATGGGCTTTAATAGCCAACCAGTTGTTCTTTTCTACAGAAATAATTTGATAATAACCATTATGGAATACAAATTAACCAGTATAAAATACAGATGTTATGATATAACATCTGCCTGAATACTTAAAGAATAATATAGTTATTAGTTGGGGTAAGTTAATTACTGTTAAACAGCAACCTCTAAATCATCTGGCTCTATGTAACAGATGTTTATTTCTTGCTCATATGGCAGTTTCTTGCAGGGTCCCCGGGCCTGTGTTCTTTCCATCTGGAGGCTCTGGCTCCCACCCACCCATGACTGGGCAACTCCCTACTGTATTCTGTGCCTCTCACCAGCAGGTGATGAAAGACAGGGAGTGGAGGAAGGCAGGAAGGTTTTCATAGGCAAAGCCTGGAAGCACGTACATCACTCTCTCTCACATTCCGTTGGCTGGGACCAAAACGTCACTGGAGGGTGGAAATGCAGTCTAATGGTGTTTAGTGGTGGTCCAGCAGGAAAGGAAGAGACATGAAGCTAAAATGCACAGCTAGCCAGTCTCTGTCACAATATGGCTCAGAATAGTAACAGCTTAAGGGCACTAACACCCAGGTACAATTTGATTTCAACTTTTATTAATGGCAATTGTAGTACTGGAAATCCATGCTGAACTGTAATTGCAGGTTTCTCAGTGAGGCCAAACATCTCAAGTATCCTGAACCTCCTTTTACTTTTTTTTTAAGGTTTATATTTTTAGAACAGTTTTAAATTCACAGCAAAACTGAGAGGAAGGTAGAGAGGTTTCCCAGATACCCCTGTCCCAACACATACATACCTCCCCCACTGTCAACATTCTCCACCAAAATGGTACCTCCATGAATCCATGAACCTATGCTGATGCATCATTACAGGGTCCACGGTTTACACTAGGGTTACTGTTTATGTTGCATATTCTATGGGTTTTGACACTTGTGAGTATAATCTGGCATTATAGTATCACACCGAGTAACTTCACTGTCCTAAAAATCCTCTGTGCTCTATTAATCTCTAACCCTTGGTAACCTCTGATCTTTGTAATCTCCCCATAATTTTGCTGTTATCAGAATATCATATATTTGTAATCATACAGTATGTACCTTTTCACATTGACTTATTGCACTTAATAATATGTATTTAAAGATTTAATATTTTTTTTAAATCCGTAGGATGTCTACACAGCTCTGATGTTTAATTCTTAAACTATGTGTAAGGATAACAATAACATCAGAAAGACTCTCTTTCTGCTCACTTTGTTTCCAGGTGTCTTTTGATGCCAAGGATGGAATTTTTAAAAAATCTGTAACATTTGACTTAATCTGAAAGCCAGACAGATCAAAGTCATCATACACATAGGGCTTTTTTCTTCGTTTATTTTTGCCCAAGGTCACTTTCCCCCCAATACTATAGATATGTGCCAAACTGCACATTTTTCTAGCTAGCTTGCTGTAATTCAATCTCCAGCACTGCTATTTGCTACAAAAAAGGACTTAATTGTTTTCTTCAAATGGATTTGGAGATTTCTCTTTCCTTTTCAGAGCAAGTTTGTAGCCCTTCTGATAAGTAGCTAGTCCTGTCCTCCAGTTCCTTCCTTCCTTGTGAACTGCATGTCCTCCAGCCCTGTTGAAGTTGTAGCCAACAGAGCAATACTGACATATAGTAGGAGCTCAATAAAGGTAGTGCAGTCACATTTTTGTTTGCACATTCCCTTGGCTTTTTCCTAGGACTTGCACCTTAAAAAAGAGTTAAACACAATATAATTCAGATTTAGAATTAAGATCACCTCCAGCTATTTTTTCCTTCTCAGAGAAAGCTCAGGTCCAGAGAAGAGTGGGGATGGAGAGTAGAGCCTGGAGGAGGGGAGCCTGGGAGGAGTCTTTCCTGGATTGAGAGCACAGGGCCCTAGGGTGTCTGAGCCCATCCCTGTATTTTATCACCTGCCAGCTCCTCAGGAAAACATTGAAGACATGAGTGCCATGTCTGGCCTTCATCTGTGCTATTTCTGGCCTTCATCTGTGAGGTCGGGCTTCCATCAATGTTCTGGAGCCTCAGTTTCTTTCAGGTTTAGGTGTGGGAGGGTGTCTGGGCTCTGACCTTCATGGTTCCTCTGCCATTACCATTTGGTGTTCTTGATCCTGGGCTCCTTCCTCCAAGCTCCTGTTTTAGGACCAGACCTAAAACAGGTTGCTGAGAGACCTGCAGAGGAAGGGTGAGAGGGCCGTGAAGTCCTTATTGTCTCCATTGCATTCACAGAGACTAAGAAGCTCGTGCTGAGGGGCTGTTCCAACATCAGCAACTCCACCTGTCAGTTCCTGTCTGCTGAGAACCGGACAGTTGGAGGAGTCATCTTCCGAAAGTTCGAGTGTGTAGACAGTGCTAACTCCTCCTTAACTGCTATTCCCAACCCAACCCTGACCACCCCTCTTGCCAGCAGCTCCAATGCCTCCTCAGCACCCACCTCCAATGAGCCCACCACCCCGGACACTGGCTCCAAAGTCTCCTTCACCCCTGTGGCCCTTGCCAGCCTCCTCCTGCTGGGGCTGCTGATCTGAGGTCCATCCTGCCCTCAGCTGCTTCACCTTTCCCCTATTTAACTGCTCAGTAAATAGCAGCCACAGCCCTCCAGGCAAAGCCCTGTAACAGCTGCATTTTTCTGCATTATTAAAGCACTGTTCACTGGCTGTCCTCATAGGTTCCTTTGCATCAATTCCTAGTTCCTTGCATTGAAATCTGTGCACCTTAGTGTGTGGGCTCCTAGAACATCCCTAATCCCCGTCCAGCTTGAGTTTGAGAAACACAGCTTTCACTTTGTTGGCACTTTCTGCCTGCAGCCCTGACTTCTGGGGACGTATCTGCCACCATCCCCACCCACACACTGAGGGCATGCCCAGCCATGCCTGTAATGTCTTGTGTTGTCCCTAGCACAGATATCTGTCCCTTCAGTGATTGTCCAGGCTCTGGTCCCAGGCCCATAGTGACATAGTCCACAGGACCCAAAGAGGGGTGCAGAGGGGTTGCAGAAGCCTGGCAGACTCCCCTGCCTAACCTCCCAGGCAGAGACATAATGTTGTTGGTGCTCAGGCTGACCAGATATCTCATAGCCTTGTACAGAATGGAACATAGCTACAGAGCCCCAGTCCCTTTTCTCAGAGAACTTATAATCAAAGGCAGAGTTTTTGACTCCATGTCCGATACCCAGGGAGCAAGAAAGCTGTTCAATACAATATGCACAGAAGTCCAGGTTTGGCAAATAAGCTGGATCTTGAGCTGGACTTGGGAGAATGGCGTTTTCTGTAATAAAACAATTTTAAAGGTGTAAACCAGTGTATGTCTTTGTTGGTTAGACCTACTAACAATACATCAAGAGCAAAGCCACCAGAAAGGCAAACTGGTGGTAGCGCATCATCACATTCATTCTTTTTTTAAATCAATTAATTAACATGCAGTGTATTATTAGTTTCAGAGATAGAATTTAGTGATTAATCGGTTGCATATAACACCCAGTGCTCATTACATCACGTTCCCTCCTTAACGTCCATCACCCAGTACCCCATTCCCCCACCACCTTCCCTCCAGCAACCTCAGTTTGTTTCCTATAGTTAAGAATCTCTTATGGTTTGTCTCTGCCTCTGATTTTGTCTCATTTTATTCTTATTTATGTATTTATTTTAGCTTTTTATTTCAAGATAATTTTAGACTTACCAAAAAGTTGCAAAAATATCACAGAGAATTCTAGAAACCCCCTTGTTAGGTCCGTAATCAAAGGAGCGAGACTGATACAAAGTGAAAGTCAAGCAGAGCTTTATTTCGCGCCAAGCATTGAGAATCAAACTGACCAGTTGGGGCCATCTCTTACAAAGAGGCGACCCCTCCCAGCCTCACAGCCTAATTTTTATAGAGCAAAGGCCATGTAGTTGAGCCTGGCCACACAGAGGTGGCCAATGAGATTGCAACACACAGAGAAAACTGCACAGTCATGCTAGGTCACACACGGGTGGCCAATTGAATTTCAATTTACCCTAGTAGATATTTGAACTAGCCTATCACCTTGGTCAGAATTGGTGCCCAAAAGGCGGGACCCACATTCCTTGGTAGCTAGGGAGACAGTATGCACACCCCACTGATTGGGTGTCTCCACCTGGCCTGACCTGTCTTGTATTTGGGCTTTGTTACCTGGGACTGGTTTCCTGGACTTGTTTTTAAGTAAGTTCCCTGGGGGGGAGGGGGTCAGTTTAAGTTTTACTGCATAAACAACAAAATCACTGTTTAACTGGATGGAATCGCTCTGGCTAAATAGGCCCTTACACCCCTCATCCACCTTCCTTTCAAGTTTGCATGTTACATAATATGCTACAGTTACTGAAACCAAGAAATTAGCATTAACACAGTATTATTAACTAATAGATCTTCACCAACTTTCACTAATGTCCTTTTTCTGGTCTAGGATCCAACTTTTTGCATTTAATTGCTATATTTCCTCAAGCTTCTACAATCTGTGACAGTTCTGGAGTTTTTCCTTTACTGGTCAGTTATTTCCCAGAATGTCCTTCAATTTGAGTTTACCTGAAGTTTTGTCATCACAAGATTGACGTTATGCATGTTCAACAAGAATCCTAAGAAATGGTGTGTCTTCAAACCAAGGGTTGCTGGAAGGGAGAGGGGTGGGAGGACAGGGTGGCTGGGTGATGGACATTGGGGAGGGTATATGTTATGGTGAGTGCTGTGAATTGTGTAAGACTGATGAATCACAGAGCTGTACCCCTGGGGCAAATAATACATTATATGTTAATAATAATAAAAAAAGAAATAGCATGTCTTTTTCAGTGGGTCGTACCAGGAAGTATATGATGTTGATGTGTTATATCGCTGCTGTTATTTAATCTTGCTTGCTTGTTGAAGTGGCATATTCCAGGTTTCTCCAGTATAAAATTATTTTTTCCCCTTTGTCGTTAATAATAGGCTATGTTTTGCTGCTATAACAAATAAGTCTTAGTCAAAAAAATTTTTAATATAAGCAAAAGGATTTAATTCAATGATAGTTCATTTCTTAGTTACTTAAACCTCTACAGATGTTCCTGACTGGGCAACTGTCCTGGGAAGCTATCCTCTGAGAGTGAAAAAGAAACCAGGCTCCTTTTATCCCATGGTTCCCCCATGCCATGGAACTCTTGGGCTCTCAGTGAAGTGTTCTGTGGCTGACAGGTGGAGAGACAGAGGGAGCCTAGAGGTCTACACAGCATGCTCTGGGACAAGCCCTGGCAGAAGCATCCATCACTTATGCTCATATCATTGGCTAGAACTGAATTACATGACCTGGGAGGAAGTAGTTCATCCACAGGCACTTCCAACACTTTGCCTCAGAGACAATATGACTCAATGGTCAAGGGCATGTCCTCTAGAGCCAAGGAATATGGCTTCAAATTTCAGCCCTGGAAAATTGGGCAACAGATATCACCTTTCTGTGCCTCAGCTTCCTACCTGCACTGAACGGATAGTTAACGCCTGTCACATGTGTTTGTGAGAGTGGCCAACATAGTTCTTCTTGGTAATGAGCAAAAACTAACAATTAGTAAATTACTCCAGTTTGAAACTGGCTCCTGCACATGCTTTAGGGAGGGGAGAACCATCAGAAATGGTGACGTGGAAGGAATATACCTGGCCCGTATCCCTCAAACCATGCTGATCTCACTGCTTCCATGTCCAAGGATTCCCTCTCTCATTTCACCCTCCCTACACACTTCATTGCTGCTGTTACCCTATAGACCAGAAGTGGCCCTATAGACCATAGCATAGAAGGGCCCCAGAAGTGGCCCTATAGACCATAGCAAGGGTCATTTGCAACCCCTACATGGCTGTCTACTCCAGGCAGGCAAGACCACCACCATAGCTTTCTGTTCCTAGAAACCCCTGGATTCCCCCATGCTCAGCATTGATGTGAAGAAGCAGTGGTAATTTTGGTGAACTGCAGAATCACTCAGGAATGGAAACCAGGATGCTGAGAATTGGGATGGAGGCTGGAGAAGAGCCACATCCCAGGAGGTCTCTGCATGTTGCAAGGACTCTGGCTTTAGACAGAGAGGTGAGCAGAGCCATAGCATGAGCATATGAGTAGGAGTGGGGTTAAGTTTCCATTCTGGGAGCCTCTCCTAGACTGCCAGATATAGGTGGAAAGACAGAAGAATGATAGGACAAGGAGGAAATTTAAACAGAGAAGTAGTGGGGACCTGCCCAGGCAGATGCTCTGTTATCCTGCTATAATCAAAGTAATTCTAACCCTAGAAATGCACTTCAATTTGCACTAATGGCTCCTGACTCCTCCCCCATGGTAGGGAAGAGGGCTAAGCACCACTTGTGCTCAATGTCTATGTTACTTTCCCTAGTTGTCCATGCTTAATTCCAGACTCTTGTCCTCTGGGCCAGGTCTTGGGCTCTCCACTGAGATAAAGCCCTTCCCTGCCAATTCTTCCATAGTCCTGGTCTAGGCTCTACGATAAGCCCCTATGTCTGAGAAGTTCCACAGAATTCTACACTCACAGCTAGACTAATCACAAATCACTGCCTTGTCTTTCCAAAGCACTTTACAGTTTGTAAAGCATTTTTTGCCCAGGTTATTTTATTTTATTTAGAATCAGCTTTTTATTCAGGTATGACTTACATATAACAAAATACATGCATGCAGACTTAATTTTGTTAAACATGTGCACTCCTCCAGTAAAGATACAAGTGTTCCTCCCACCCCCTGAGCTCCTCTAGGATCCCTTGTAGTTTGTTCTACCAGCACCAGACATCTACCTGCATCTCCATTGTCCCCTCCAGTAATTGTTAGGAAACTCTTCCGCTCACATTCCATTGAGCTCAGCAGTTAGTAACCACCTGGATGCAAGGCAATGACCCTGGGTTGGGGGTGTGAACTATTCCTAGCAACTCTGCACCAGGGAAGGGAGAAGTCACAGGGCTATTTCCACCAGATTCCAATACCTTCCATCTACTCAGTGCTTTGACTATGAAGACAGAAGGAGGGTGTGGGTTCCCTTCTTTGTGGGCTGGATGTAGCACCTCTTGGCTGAATTATGATCTGAACTAACTCTCCAAATACTTGATCCAAAATATGAACCGAACTAAAGCAAAAACCACTAATCACTGTAAATCTCATCAATGTTCATTTTTAAATGTGAGAGGGATGCTGGTCTTGAGATGTTCTGCAAGGGTCTTAAGCAACCGAGTGTAATTGTAGATCTGAACATCAGAGTGAAGAAGGTTAAGGAAAGGGAAGTCTCTGGCAGGATGAGTAGTGGGCTCAAGGTGTGGTTGCTCTAAGGCTGGAGGGACCAGCTACTTCATCCAAGTGATTCCAGACATTTTTGTGTTCCCAAAAGTGCTGTCACTAGCAAAGTTAACAAGAGGTATAAGGCTTCCAGTACAGTGTCTCAGGAAAAGGGAAGAAGAACAACCAGTTAGAATTTTGGTGCCAGGGACACACAGTGGATCATTCCCAGAAGTGTTTTGTTTTTGTTTTTGTAAAGATTGATCAATTTGGGGCACCTGGGTGGCT